CAGGACTGGGGTAGGGAAGGAGGGGGTAGGGGGCGGGGTATCCTCCTCCTGGATGGGTGACATTGATCCTGTTTGTTCAGTTGTTACGGTGAACAGTTCTCCCATTGAACGGCGGATTGGTGGGCGAAGGGACGCCACTGTTACGCTGTACTGTGCTCGATGTGTGTACATGTCATGCCGGCCAATAGTACATGTCTCGTAGCCCCCTCCCCTTGTCCTCCCTCCCTCCCCCCTCCCTTGGCGCTTGATCCCTCCTCCTCCTCCTCCTCCTCCTCCTCCTCCTCCTCTTCTTCGTCTCGCGCTCAGTCCCATTTTTCTCATAATTCGATAGGGGGGCTTTCCCTCCCCCCCCCCTTGTTCGTTTTAGTTTTGCTCTCTTTTTTACCTTTTTCTTGTATTTTTTTGTTTCTTATTTTTCTTCATTTCTCGTTTTAGTTTTTCTTTTTGTTTTATTTTATATACTTTATCTTTTATTTCCATTTTCATTCAGATTTTTTTCTTTTCTTTTCTTTTTGCTTTTGTCTCTCATATTTTCCATTCTTCATATGTCTTTCTTCTTTTTCAAGTCATTCATCTCCTGTGTCTGCTTTTTTTCTCCGTTTTCTTTTTTCAATTCTTCCTTTACCTTCCTCTTGTAGTTTCTCTTTCTTCCATTCTTTATCTGGGTTTTCAGCTTTTTATTCTTCATTTTTTTCTGTGGCCTCTTTTGTTTCAATTCTTACATTTGTGTTTTTTTTCCTCTGTGTTTCTATTTCCGCTTTTTAAACTACCCCGTCCTTAGTTTTTTGTCTTTCTCTTGTTATCTTTCACGGTTTTCCTTCGCCTTCCTTTCTGTTTTTCTTTTCTTCTCTTTTCATTGTTCCCGTTTCTTCCTCTCTATGCTAATTTTCGTCTGTCTCTCTCTCTCTCTGTCTCTCTCTCTCTCTCTCTCTCTCTCTCTCTCTCTCTCTCTCTCTCTCTCTCTCTCTCTCTCTCTCTCTCTCTCTCTCTCTCTCTCTCTCTCTCTCTCTCTCTTTGTTATTCTTCATTCCCCGCTTTGCCCCTTCTCCCTGTCCCCCGCCCAAGCTAGCTGGCGAGACATGCAGAGGGCGCCAGTAGGTGGGCGTGAAACAGCAGCTCGCGAACATGTGGGCGTAACGAGCCATCATAATGTTGTCGGACAAGGAAGGCGGGAGTGTTGACAACAAGGAGTCCGCCATTGTTGTTGGCAAAGACTACCGACAACTCCTCTCCTCGACCGTCATTTGCCCCGTGACAACAGCGAGCCAAGGATGTTGTCGTTGGAATATATATTTTTGCAATATTGTTTACTCTCTCTTTTTTGTTTTCTTTTTTTTTCGGGAAGAGGAGATGGGTTGAAGATTGATCATTTGTGTGTGTTGGTGTTCGAGCTGCAGGTGTCGATGTTCATTAGGAGAGGGAGGGAGGTTTGGGAATCGTTAAGGGAGCTAAATGTTCCTTTTTAGGGATTAAGGGCTTTTTTAAGGAGAAGGAGAGGGAGTGAGAGAGAGAGAGAGAGAACTTGAGCTTTATAAATCGACTGATCATCTGTTTTGTAATAATGGCCGTATTTTTTTGCCTTTTCTATGATGTAAGAAGGAGTAAATAAATAATATGGTCCTTTATGCCCATCCTTTTGCCTTTGTCCATATGCAAATAAAAAATCCAGGTTTACCATACAGGATGCGAGTCTTATCCTTCCCCTCCCTCCCCTCCGTAGGACGTCCTACCCCCTTTCCCCTTTCCCTCTACAAGTCCCTACCCGGTCCCTCGGCCTCGGACACCCCCCTCCCCCGCCCCTCTTCGGGTAAAGAGCGGGTGTATTATGTGTGGCCGCGCCGCCGCCTCGCCGTTTCATCGTGTTCCGCGTGACAGGACAGACTGGATGGGTCGGCTGGATCCCCCCCCCCCCCTGCCCATCCTCCCTGTGTCCCGGGCCGACCGACAACCCCGCAGGACATACTCGTCAAAGATCCGCATTATCATATCCAAACACAGATATCGGTAACAAAATGGCGGGCCCCGAGGGTGGCCAGAGACAGCCGCGACACTCCCCGGTGGCGGGAAAACGGCGGCGAGATTCAATGGCTTTTCATCATCTCTTCAGCGCCGTGAAATCCCGCCATTGGTTCGGGTCGCCGGATGCACAGGCTCCTGCAGGAAAGAATCGACTGCCGAGCTCTGCGGATTCTTATGATATGGGGAAATGATTCTTACTCTTGGAAAAAAAAATCAGAATGTCGATTTTTGTCTCTTCTTTTTTTTCCTTTCTTATCCCTCGGTTCTACCTTTTCTCCTTTTTTTGTCTCTCCTTTTGCCTCGTGAGTGGAGAGGTACCCGGCCGCCATTAGGGCAGCGGAGTGTCACTGTAGCGTCGTCCCCTAATGCTTTCATCACTAATGGCATTATCCGGTTATTAAGGATGGATGTTCCCATGCACTTTTATCTCCTTTTTTCTGCCTCTTCAAACAGACGCCATCAATGGCAGGGGGGGGGGGGATTTGAAGTACTCGCTCGGGGGGTAAGGAGAGGGGGGGAGGGGGAGGACGAGGGCAAGGGCCAATCACGTCGAGCCGATGGAGGAACTGTAGCCAATCACATCAGTGTTTTCTCTTTTGATTGGAGCTCAAGTAAAGCGCGTTCTCCACGGAGGAATATTAAGAGAAGCTTCCCACCCTCCTGGGCTCTCTCTCTCTCTCTCCCCACCCTCTCCCCTTCCTCCTTCCCTCCTACCCCACCTCTCGTGCCCCCTGCCCTCCATTTCCGCCCCTCTTAAGTACCCTCCCCGCCCCTCCTCCGCCGTTGCTACCCTCCGCCGCGCAGATGGTCATCGTTGCCGCTGCGGGACGATGCCCAAGACGCGCCGGGACCCTCACGCCCGCCGCCCGAGCCCTCTGAATGCACGCTCGGAGATGCATCATTTTCATTTTTTTAACTGTTTATTTTATGTGTGTATCTATTGTTTCTTCTCTCTCTCTCTCTCTCTCTCTCTCTCTCTCTCTCTCTCTATATATATATATATATATATATATATATATATATATATATATATATACTAATTCGAAATCATAACGAAAATCCTCCGAAATAAAAAAATAAAAAGATGCGAAATCTCGGCGGTCACGGAGCCCCGTCGAAACACGAGCCGAGGCCGCGCTGGCACCGGCCGTCGCGCCTCTCGTCTTCCGAGATGAAAACGAGACTTACTTCTTTTGTCTATTTCTGTATGTCATAACGTGGTTCATAACCTCCGGGTGGGCGAGGGGGCGTCGCTGTCACTGGCCGTGGGGTTGAGGGGGGCGGCCCGTGACAACTTCTATGTATAGTTCTGCCGTGTGACCTGCCGGAGGGGGCTTTATGGGCGCCGTCGGATGCTATCGTCGCGTCCGTTCGGCTCGCGGTGGACGGCGCTTGTGATCGACGTCGGCGGGAGATCGGATCGGGACCGGAGCTGCTACTCGCCTCGGTGTTTCTCGGTCCTCTGTTTGTGCGGTATTATGATTGTTTTTATGTTTATTGACTGATTTGTTCGCTTGCTTACTCTGTGTGTTTGCTTGTTTATTTGTTTGAATCGTGTTTGCGTGAAAATTGGAACAAATAATGGAGGGGAAAAAAATGAGAGTAGTTTACGCATCTGGTCGAGGTCTGAGCAGCTATCAAGAACTGTCTGGAATCTTATTTTTTCTCCTCCCTTATCGTTTGCGGCGGGATTCGCAGGGTGAGAATCGTTATGAATGTGAATAGACGGGAGGCAGGCGATTCGCGGGAGGATAGCGCTTGGAGACTCAGGGCGGTGTTGCTTGGCTGTCCTTCCTTCGGCGTGTCCCCTGGTCCGTGCATGGCGGGTCGTGCAAAAAGGGCATGCGGGGAGGCTATGCGGTAAGTGGCTTGGTGGGGAGGGAAGAATGGCGGCATGCGGCGGTCGGGGCGTGCGGGTAGCGGGCAGCGGTCCAAGGCTCCATTGCCCTCTCCATCATCGCCGTCCTCGCCCCCCCCCCTGCCCCTCCAGCCGTCCTCGTCACCCGCCCGGCCCCGAGCTCGTCCGTCATCTGGAGCCGCGTCGGGAGGGAACTCGTCGGCGTCGGACTCGTGAGCAAGAGAGATGTCCGTGCAGACGGAATTAGCGGCGACATTTTGGGTTTCGACCATTTTCCAATTTATTCTTCTTTTATTTGATTTTTCTTTTACTTTATTTCTCTTCATATTTACGTATTCACTGTGTTGTCTTGCTTGATTCAGACGTATCATACCACCTATTTAACTGTATTGATATTATCATATAGATATAATTTCAGTTACATATTTTCCTCTTCTTGCGCAGCTCCAAAATACTCGCACAATAAATTCGAATAAAAGGAAGTAGACGTAATGGTGACGATGATAACTCCAATGATAAATGTGATGACGAAGATGCCTATTAGGCCTGTCCCGTGTTCTGTGTTCAGCGTTGGTAATCCTCGCTCAGTGAAGCCTATTTCGCATAATGGGCGATGACCTGCGGAGGAAAGGGTTGCGTTTCCTAATGGGTTGTTCGAATTCCATCCGGTCTCCTATTCTCGAAGCTTCTGTGATTTTGTTTCCTGGATTAGCTGACGGAGCCAGATTTTGTTTCCATTTAGGTTGTATTCCATGCAGTACCGATGACTTTTTGCGAGGCGGAAAATTATGGGTTTACGAGAGAAGCAAAATAATGCCTTTTAGTATATGTATCCTCAAGTACATTGAAATTTTCTTTATTTGTTGTTATGAAAAAGTATGGAGAGGGATTGGTGAGGGACGTTTCATAATTAAAAAGCACTATTGGAAATGTAGGTGACAAAATATGAGGAAATCAGAGAAACTTATTTCAAAAATAATTACTGTTGTTAGATTGAGGATTACAGTCTGAAAATTCTTTGATTGATGTATTTGACCTGAGTCATAGATACATGCACACACGCGCGCTTTTTTACCATACCAAGACTCCGCAGTTCCTAATCTGAGGTCTCCTCTTCCCGCAGGTGAGACAGATGACTCGTACATCTGCCCTTACTGCCGGGCGGAGCTGAGTTCCCGCGAGCAGCTGGAGGAGCACCGAGTGGCGTGCGGGCGTGACCCTCCCGTGCTGCCGGTACCAGAGACGCCCCCCGGCCACCACGAGGGCGCGCACCCCGACGAGCTGCGGCGGCACCAGGACGTGGCCAACAACAACCAGGCGCACGCGCTCAAGGCCCGCACCGCCCACGAGACGACCCCCGAGTCGCGGGAGTCGTCCGTCGACCGCAACAATGGCTACGACAGCGACAGCAACCCGCTGGAGAGCGGCCCTCTGGCGCAGATCAGGCAGATCCTGGCGCAGTCGACCGCCGCCAGCGCGTCCGTGGGCCCCATCCACCAGCAGCTGGCGCAGTCCAACCTGGCCCTCGAGGCCATCCAGAACACCCGGATGGCGCTGACGCAGTTCGCGACGTCGGCGCTGAACTCTTCCCAGAACAACCCCCAGGCGATGCAGGAGTTCGCCATGTTGCAGGGGACCTTGTATACCTTGCAGCACCAGCAGATGATGCAACTGCAGCTCATCCAGCAGCTGCAGGCACAGCTGTCGATCAAAAACAAGGAAGGGAGCCCGGGGCTGCCGAACTTCCCCGAGGGGGAGGCGAAAGCGCCGAGCGAGAGCCAGGAGCAGAAGCCCCCGTCCCGCCCACCACCTCCCCGCCCCCCGCCCCCGCCCACTTCGGAGAACAACAACCAGGACGGGGTCAGCAGTTCCTTCCTCAGCTCCCTCATGGAGCGCTTCAAGGCTCCCCCCAGCAATGAGAGCAGCGGCGAGCGCCCCACACAAGGGTCCCCCATGGTGGCTGCCAGCACCAGCGGGCCCCCCATCGACCCCAGAGACCGCCCGATCTCGCCGCCCATGACGGCCTCCAGCATCGCGTCCTCCGTGATCCAGCACACGGAACCCCCGCCGTCCGACGAGCCCAACACGCTGGAGATGCTCCAGCGAACCGCCAACAACGTCCTCAACAACGCCTCGCAGGGTCTCCTCACCAGCCGACTCATCGACGACCACAAGCCCCCCGACGGCAAGGACCCCTACTACAAGCATCGATGTCGCTACTGCGGCAAGGTCTTCGGCAGCGACTCGGCCCTCCAGATCCATATCAGATCCCACACTGGAGAGAGACCCTTCAAGTGCAACGTCTGTGGAAACCGATTCACCACCAAGGGCAACCTGAAGGTGCACTTCCAGCGCCACGCGCAGAGGTTCCCCCACGTCAAGATGAACCCCCATCCTGTCCCGGAGCACCTAGATAAGTTCCACCCGCCCCTGCTGGCGCAGCTGGGAGAGCTAAAGGACTACCCTTCTCCTCCTACCGGGCCTCCGAACCCCTTCCCATCCATGTCGGGCGGCCCTGCCCTACCTCCGTACCGGCTACCGGGCCCGCCCCCGTCGCTCGACCTCCACAGACCCTTCAACCTCCTCAACCTCGCCAGACAGCCTCGCGACGACGAGCCCGAGAACCTCAGCGTGTCCGAGACCCGGTCGTCGCCCGAGGCTCTGCGGCGAGACTTCGGCATGGACAGAGGCGACTCCAGCATGGACGTGGACGACACCTCTCGGCACTCCAGCAGGTTCGACTCGAAAATGGAGAAGGGCGAGGGCGACGCCGACATGGTCAGCATGGCGGGAATCGGCCTCAACGAAAACAGCTCCGACAGAGAGAAAAGATTCGAGAAGCCCTTCGAGGAGGCGAAAACCTTCGACAGCAATCCATTAAAGGACGAGAAGTATGAAGAAGCGAAGAGATTCGGAGAAGAGAACAGATTTCTAGAGAAAAGGTTCGAGGAGGAGAAGAGGTTCGAGGAAGAGAAGCGGTTTGAGGAGGAAAAGAGGTTTGAGGAGGAGAAAAGGTTCGAGGAGGAGAAGCGGTTTGACGAAGAGAAGAGGTTCACTGAAGGAGAAAGGTTTGACGAAGACAAGAGGTTTGACGAAGAGAAGAGGTTTGAGGAGGAGAAGCGTTTCGAAGAAGAGAAGAGATTTGAAGAAGATAAGGCGTTCGAAGACAGAAGGTTCGACGACGAAAGCAGGATGATGGAGAGCGAGAACAAGTTCGACAGCGAAAGGAAGTTCAAGAGCGAGCGGGAGACGTCCGAGGACCGCTTCCTCAACTCGCAGGAGATGCGCGATATGTCGGACAGGAAGAGCTCCGATAGTGACATGAGTGCCAAACCACACCCCTTGGACATCCGCGTCCGCACCGAGAAGGAGCTGAAGGACGCCGCCGACGGGAACAGTGCCAAAGAGGACCAGGACATGGACAGCAGCGACTCCCGTCCTCTCAGCACGGACCAGCCAACTGACCTCAGGATGAGACCAGACTTTCGTCCACTCGGGCTGCCGACTATTCCATTCTCAGGCCCTAGGCTTCCCCTCAACTTCCCCTTTCTCCCCGGCCTTCCTACCTCATTTCCCGGGCCGATGGGCCCCCCGAGCATCCCCCCAGGCGTCGACCCAGCCAAAGATCCACATATCTACACGAACCTCCTGCCCAAGCCCGGGAGCTCCGACAACTCGTGGGAGGCGCTGATCGAGATCCAGAAGACGAGCGAGACGATGAAGCTGGAGCAGCTCGTCAACAACATCGAGAACAAGCTGACGGACCCGAACCAGTGCATCATCTGCCACCGCGTCCTCTCGTGCAAGTCGGCGCTGCAGATGCACTACCGCACACACACCGGAGAAAGGCCTTTCAAATGCAAAATCTGCGGGCGCGCCTTCACCACGAAGGGAAACCTCAAGACTCACATGGGCGTCCACCGCGCCAAGCCGCCCATGAGAATGCTGCACCAGTGCCCGGTGTGCCACAAGAAGTACACCAACGCCCTGGTGCTTCAGCAGCACATCCGGCAGCACACGGGGGAGCCCACCGACCTGACCCCCGAGCAGATCGCCGCCGCGGAGGTCAGGGACTACCCGCACCTGCACACGCCGACGTCGCTCCCGCAAATGCTGTCGCAGGGCTTCCCTCTGCCGCCGCCGCCCCTGCAAGGCTTCCCTCCCCTGCCCCTGCACCTCAGGTACCAGCTGTCCCCCGAGGCCCTCAGGCACCGGGAGATGATGGAGAGCGAAGACCGGGGCAACGAGGAAGAGAAGTACCTTCGTCCCTTCAGCAACTCCTCCAGGTCGTCCTCGACGGGCAGCGCCGAGCAGCGCACCGCCGAGGACCTGACGGTGAGGGCTCGCGAGGACAACTACAACGGCATGACCTCCCCCCGCGCCTCCGTCTCCCCCACGCCGTCGGACTACTCCGACCTAGGGGAGAGGTCGCATGACGCTCCCGCTGACAGTCAGGTGTCGCCGCCCGACCACAATATCAGCGGCTCCGTCAGCCCCGCCGTCAGCACAGGAAGTCAGGACGGAGGAGTGCCTCTGCCCCTGGACTTGGCGCAGCGCTCTCACCCGCACCTGTTCTCGCCCTTCGGCCTGTTCCCGCCGCCCCTCACGACGGGCCCGCTGACGCCCGGCACCCACTCCATGCCGGGCCTCAACCCGCTCTACATGCCCAGCATGCCAGGTGGGTCCATTTCCCGTGATAGACTGTCTCTGCACAGAAGGATTTAATTCTGATTTAAGGATAATGCTGTAACATTTTGCTTAGGTATTCTTGTTTCATGGATTTGATATTCCATGCTTATCATTGCTATTATAGATTTACATTTTCCCTTTCGGGCGTTAATAAAAAACGATATAATGAATATTGTGCAGGCCGCGGCAACACCACGTGTCAGATTTGCTTCAAAACCTTCGCTTGCCAATCGGCGCTTGAGATCCACATCCGATCCCACACGAAGGAGCGGCCCTTCAAGTGCAGCATCTGCGACCGAGGCTTCTCAACTAAGGTGCGACCCTTTCTTAGTTCTTGCTGCCAATGCAACTGAAACGAAAATCTTTGTCTGGTAAAAATGTTGCAATGTATAGAGATCATGAAGTGCCATGAGATACACTACACCAGATATGTATATATATTATGCATGTGAAATATTAGTCACGAGTTGCCCGAGGGCAGCGCGGTGATGCCAGACAAACCCATGCTGACTAAGGTCTTCCCCCCAGGGGAATATGAAGCAGCACATGTTGACCCACAAGATCCGCGATGGCTGCCGCGACCAGCCCCTGGACCCCAACAAGAGCAACGGGCCCGGAACCCCAGGCCTGGACACGTCGTCGGCGTCGCCGTCGCTCATCTCGCCCCTCACGTCCTCCGTCGTCTCCCCGCTCCCGTCGTCGCTCGCCTCGCCTCTCCCTTCCTCGCTCGCCTCGCCCCTTCCCTCCTCGCTCGCCTCGCCCCTTCCAATCTCACTGGCCTCGCCTCTTCCAATCTCACTGGCCTCGCCTCTGCCCCCCACGCTCGCCTCCCCCCACCCGTCGTCCCTCGCCTCGCCCCTCCCGGCGTCGCTCGCCTCCCCACTCCCCGCGTCTCTCACGTCTCCTCTCCCCGCCTCCCACGCCTCCCCACTTCCCTCTTCCCTCACCTCTCCCCTCCCCGCCTCGCTAACCTCGCCCCTGCCCGCCTCTCTCCCCTCCTCGCTACCCCCGTCGTTCCCCCCCGCAGCCGTGGCCGCAGCCCTCCTGCAGCAGGCGCGGGAGGAGGAGAAGCTGGACGCGAGAGTGAAGCGAGAGCGAGAGGGCGAGAACGTGCTCCCGGTACCTAAGCGACCGTCAGGTGAGTCACGTGACTTGTTTCGCCTGTGTGCAATGGATGCAAACAAGTGGTGATCAAAGATAAACATAGGTACAAAGTGTGAGAAATAAATGCCTAAACTATTAAAATATCAATGAAGGATTCACAAATCTCCCCCGAGCGCCACCCCACCTAACCCCCCGTCCCTCCCCAGGCCCCGGCGGAGAGGGCGAGCTCCTCGAGTCGGGCAACCCGATGGAGGGGGAGCAGCCGCAGGGATGCGACCCCGCCCCCTGCCCCTCGCCGGCCCCCGAGGTCATGCCCTTGCCGAGGACGTGATCCATGCCAACCCTCTGTGTAAGTCTCCAGTAAAGCTACCCAGGTACATACAAGAATACAGAACTCTGTTTTTGCAGTATTCTTAGTATTACTTTGTAGCCGATATTTTTGTTATGGAATATTTCGTGTCTGCAGGTTATGATTTCCTCAGTGGTTATTTTGTATATGATGAATACATAGATAGATATTTCTTGAAGGATAGATTTTGTATATACTGTATATATATACATGACTCATATATAACCGTAAGACGATACTAACGATGATCTTATACAATTTGTTTATCAATACAAGATATTGTTATTTTTTAAGACCGAAAAATCCGCCCAACCCTCGATACTAACGCCTCCCGCCCTCTTCCAGAACAGAGGAATTGCGCCCGGAGTGGTCCGCCTGCCTCCGACATGGCCGCCGTGGTTCTACAAGTAACCAAGTTACTCATCGCATACCCACAAGTTACCCGAATCCCCGCCCTCTCCGAAACGTGCCCGGCCCCCCTCCCTCCCCAGCCGCGTCCCCCTCCGCTCCGAACGCGGGGGGGTCGATCGCTGCCCCGGGGTCATAGAGCTTAAAGCTTTGCCGTTTTAGTGGTCCAGGAGAGGCCGCTCTGGTGAGGACCATCAGACCTTGGATATGTGGCTTTGAAAAAGTTTCTTTATGGTGACGAGTGATGGTGAATGACGATTTGCAGAGAGACGGAAAAACCAGTGAAAATAATGATAATGATAATTTACGAAATAAATGAAGGATGAATAAAAGAATTACATTTAATCACCCTCCAATACAAATCAATAAACTGACGAAAATCTATATACAAATTTTATCACCAATGATAAATGTTGCAAGAGCAGATCCAGCGAGAAGTGATCCCCGTGTCGACATCAAGCCTCCATGTACAAAAAGTGCGAGACACGAAATCTATTATGTTAAAGGATTTTGGGGGAAAAGGAAACAAAAGGAAATGTCTTTCTGTTCTGGGACAATTTCCTTAATGGGTGGGAAAAAAAGGATGGTCATAGATACCGAAGGATATATATTAAAAACAAAAAGAGAAAAAAATCGAATTGACGGAAAGAATTGTAATCTGTAAGTTGGTTTTTGTTAATAGGCATCAAAGGTGTTGTGTATAGAACGATATTCTTCTTTTATATGTAAAGATCTCATTTTCATGCTCTTACGAACTCATTCATTTTAACTATAATTGTTAATTTATCTTCGCGCTATGACTCCTTTTTTTACTTCATTCTTGAGTTTTTAAGTGTGTCCATTCAATGTGAATCAAGATGAAAGAAAGAAAGAAAAATATAAACAATGGATTTGTCTTTTCTAAATATCCGAGCACATAAGCCCAGTAAAATGCTTGTGACATTTTGTACCAACCACTTGTACATCCACCGTAGTTCCTCGCCAATCTAGTCTTTGCGGTCCCCTGCGGTCAGTGGGGGCGACACTGGGCCCTCGCCCCCGCCCACAGAGAGAAAGGGAGAAGGGCAGAAACAGATAGAAAGAAAGAAAAAACAAAACAGAAAGATAAAGAGAGAGAGAGAGGAGTGATTATCTATAGGGAACAAATATGCACCTCAAACTTTTACTCATTACCTCATTCACCCCATGAGTTCGGATCCGAGAACGCGACTGGGCGCGAGGGCGACGGGGAACCCAGGTTAGGGCGCTTCACTTACCGCTCGGGACTGTTCTGGGTATAAAAATGTCACAAATGTTTGCAAACAGTGCATTATAGCGCAGGCCGACGCCTCCCCCAGGCACCAGTACTCCTCGGGGCCGTCGATTCCTTTTATATATATATATATAAATACATATACATATACTAGTAACGCTGATCACTGCAGGAGAGCCTAGAGAGTGATAGCCTAGATTATATCAAATGAGATTTTTTTGTCATTAAACTGTAAATTCATATCTACTTAGGAATCTCTTTGCTTTGTGATGTACTGCAATATAATGGGAATGGGCATTTAGGCAAACCAAGTTGTTCTCTGTGATAATATAGTCAAAGGATTTAAACTGGGCTAGATTTCCGTTATTATTTAAAAAAAGAATAAATCAAGAGTCTATATGGTTATCGGTTTGGTGTAAATGACGATATGAGAACCGATCAGATGGGGCTCCGTGACAAGGCGCTCGGCACCACCCCGCCTAGGACTGGACTGTTCATCGCGACAGCTGAGAGACGACCAGTGGACGCAGGACGACTACAGCAGTGCAGGGGACGTCCGCAGGTGTGACATCGCCGGCGAGTCCTCTTGCCGAATCGACGCCACCAGGAGGGAGGCGCCACCAGCGTGCATGGTAGCATTGCCAGGGCGCCATCTAGCAGACTGAGCACGCCAGAAGACCCGTGCTTCATGCGTAGCAGCGTCCAAGCACCGCCGCGGCGCTTGGCGACAAGCAACAGGACCAGACTTTGCCAGATATCCTCGAGGTCGTGATGTAAATGCACGTTATTGTATGCTGGACTGTTTCTTCCTCTTTGGAAAC